TTAATTCGATAAAGTATACCTTAAAAGCTACCCTGTCATTGAATTTGTGTATAGATTCATAATCATATTAACTGCACCTCTGCTCCTGACATGTAATAAATTAATCATGTAATAGATTGGACCACTGACTAGCCACACAGGCTAATGGTCCAAATACTTTTGTAACCATGTTTTTGTATTACGTTGATTGAATAAACACTGATGATAATGATGATGATGATGATGACTTAAACTACTACGATGAACGAATGGGTGCCGCTTTAAGGAGCTTCGCCCCTAAAAGAATGAGTGGAAACCTCGATCGGTTGAAAAGGTATCCAGCTGGTAGAGAAGATGGCTGTTTACGGCACTGGCAGGGCTCACAAACGGGTAAGTACACCAGTTCGACACTACGACTACGACTAGGACTACTACGATGAACGAACGGGTGCAACTTTAAGGAGCTTCGCCCCTAAAAGGTTGAGTGAAACATCGATCGGTCGAAAAGGTATCCGGCTGGTAGAGGAGATGGCTCTTTACGGCAGTGACAGGGCTCACAAACGGTTAAGTATACTGGTTACACACTACAACTACGACTAGGACTACTATAAAGAACGAACCGGTGCCGCTATAAGGAGCTTCGCCCAAAAAAGGATGAGTTGAAACCTCGATCGGTTGAAAGTTATCCGGCTGGTAGAGAATATGGCTATTTATAGCGCTGGCAGGGCTCACAAACGGGTAAGTATACTAGTTGCACACTTCGACTACGACTAGGAATTCTACGAGGAATGAACGGGTGCCGCTTGAAGGAGCTTCGCCCCTAAAATGTTGAGTAGAAGCATCGATCGGTTGAAAACAAATCCAGCTGGTAGAGAAGATTACTCTTACGGCGCTGGCAGGGCTCACAAACGGGTAAGTAGGCTGGTTACACACTACGACTACGACTAGGAATACTACGAGGGACGAACGGGTGCCACTTTAAGGAGCCTCGCCCCTAAAAGGTCGAGTAGAAACCTCGATCGGTTGAAAAGGTAACCGGCTGGTAGAGAAGATGGCTCTTTACGGCGCTGGCCGGGCTCACAAACGGGTAAGTATACTGGTTACACACTACGATTACGACTGGGACTATTGCAACGAACGAACGGGTGCCATTTTAAGGAGCTTTGCCCCTAAAAGGTTTAGTGGAAATATCGATCGGTTGAAAGGGTATCCGGCTAGTAGAGACGATGGCTCTTTACGGCACTTGCAGGGCTCACAAACGCGTAACTGTACTGGTTACAGACTACGACTACGACTAGAACTACTACGAGGGACGAACAGGTGCCGCTTTAAAGATATTCGCCCCTAAAAGGTTGAGTGGAAACATCGATCGGTTTAAAAGGTATCCGGCTGGTAGAGAAGATGACCCTTTACGGCGCTGGCAGGGCTCACAGACGGGTAAGTATGCTGGTTACACACTACGACTACGACTAATACTACTACGAGGGACGAACGGGCGCCGCTTTAAGGAGCTTCGCCCCTGAAAGGTCGAGAGGAAACTTTGATCGGTTGAAAAGGTATCCGGCTGGTAGAGAAGATGACCTTTACGGCGCTGGCAGGGCTCACAGACGGGTAAGTATGCTGGTTACCACTACGACTACGACTAATACTACTACGAGGGACGAACGGGTGCCGCTTTAAGGAGCTCCGACCCTAAAAGGTCGTGTGGAAACCTCGATCGGTTGAAAAGGTATCCGGCTGGTAGAGAAAATGGCTCTTTACGGTGCTGGGAGGGCTCAAAAACGAAAAGTATTCTAGTTGCACACTACGACTAGGACAAGGACTACTACGAGGAACGAGCAGGTGCCGCTATAAGGAGCTTCACCCCTAAAAGGTTGTGTGAAAACATCGATCAGTTGAAAAGTTATCCGGCTTATAGAGAAGATGGCTCTCTATGGCACTGGCAGGGCTCACAAACGGGAAAGTGTATTGGTTACACATTTCGACTATGACTAGGACTACTACGAGGGAAGAACGGTTGCTGCTTTAAGGAGCTTCGCCCCTAAAAGGCTGAGGGGAAACCTCGATCGGTTAAAAAGGTATACGGCTGGTAGAGAAAATGGCTCTTTACGGCGCTGGCAGGGCTCACAAACGCGTAACTGTACTGGTTACAGACTACGACTACGACTAGAACTACTACGAGGGACGAACAGGTGCCGCTTTAAAGATATTCGCCCCTAAAAGGTTGAGTGGAAACATCGATCGGTTTAAAAGGTATCCGGCTGGTAGAGAAGATGACCCTTTACGGCGCTGGCAGGGCTCACAGACGGGTAAGTATGCTGGTTACACACTACGACTACGACTAATACTACTACGAGGGACGAACGGGCGCCGCTTTAAGGAGCTTCGCCCCTGAAAGGTCGAGAGGAAACTTTGATCGGTTGAAAAGGTATCCGGCTGGTAGAGAAGATGACCTTTACGGCGCTGGCAGGGCTCACAGACGGGTAAGTATGCTGGTTACCCACTACGACTACGACTAATACTACTACGAGGGACGAACGGGTGCCGCTTTAAGGAGCTCCGACCCTAAAAGGTCGTGTGGAAACCTCGATCGGTTGAAAAGGTATCCGGCTGGTAGAGAAAATGGCTCTTTACGGTGCTGGAGGGCTCAAAAACGAAAAGTATTCTAGTTGCACACTACGACTAGGACAAGGACTACTACGAGGAACGAGCAGGTGCCGCTATAAGGAGCTTCACCCCTAAAAGGTTGTGTGAAAACATCGATCAGTTGAAAAGTTATCCGGCTTATAGAGAAGATGGCTCTCTATGGCACTGGCAGGGCTCACAAACGGGAAAGTGTATTGGTTACACATTTCGACTATGACTAGGACTACTACGAGGGAAGAACGGTTGCTGCTTTAAGGAGCTTCGCCCCTAAAAGGCTGAGGGGAAACCTCGATCGGTTAAAAAGGTATACGGCTGGTAGAGAAAATGGCTCTTTACGGCGCTGGCAGGGCTCACAAACGGGTATTATACTAGTTGCACACTATGACTACGACAAGGCTACTACGAGGAACGAACGGGTGCCACATTAAGGAGCTTCGCTCCTAAAAATTTGATTGGAAACATCGATCGGTTGAAAAGGTATCCGGCTGGTAGAGAATGTGGCTCTTTACGGCACTGGCAGGGCTCAAAAACGGGTAAGTACAGTGGTTACACACTACGACTACGACTAGAACCACTACGATGAACGAACGGGTGCCGCTTTAAGGAGCTTCGCCCCTAAAAGGTTGTGTGAAAACCTCGATCGGTAGAAAAGGTATCCGGCTTATAGAGAAGATGGCTCTCTATTGCACTGGCAGGGCTCACAAACGCGTAAGTGTACTGGTTACACACTACGACTATGACTAGGACTACTACGAGGGACGAAAGGTTGCCGCTTTAAGGAGCTTCGCCCCTAAAAGGCTGAGGGGAAACCTCGATCGGTTGAAAAGGTATCCGGCTTATAGAGAAGATGGCTTTCTATGGTACTGGCAGGGCTCACAAACGGGCAAGTGTACTGGTTACACACTACGACTATGACTAGGACTACTACGAGGGACGAACGGTTGCCGCTTTAAGGAGCTTCGCCCCTAAAAGGCTGAGGGGAAACGTCGATCGGTTGAAAAGGTATCCGGCTGGTAGAGAAGATGGCTCTTTACGGCGCTGGGAAGGCTCAAGAATGAAAAGTATACTGGTTACACACTACGACTACGACTAGGCCTACTACATGAACGAACGGGTGCCGCTTTAACCCTTTATGGGACACATTAAAAAAACACGATCAATTCATTTTGTCTGTATAAAACTGATGGTTACTACAACAGTATGTGACATATAAAATTTTAGTTTCGTCAGTGCAAAGGGGACTCAAAAAAGTGGGACGCATATGTCCCACTGGTTGTTCAGAACACCAGAGAACAATATGGTCCCAGTAACCACATTCGACATGGCTGTTGGCAATAAAAAAAATGTGGGTACAAACTTTATTCAAAATTGCACTCTTGCAAACAGCAACGTCTGGCTGTATGAAAACCTTCACTTTCCGTTATGAAAAGGCAGGAAACATGTAGCACACAACGGCACGTTGTAGACTTTGCATACAAGTGCCGTCCTAATTTCCTTCGCCTTGGTAGAACACCACCTGCACCGTTTACGTCCGGTTGTCTTCAGAGGGTGGTGGTCACCTTTGTGAAATCTGATTTCTCCAGAAACGCCCACCATCTTCTGTCCAGACTGACGTCCACGCTTCTTGTGCTGAAAAGCGGGAATGGCCGTCTTTTTCCTGAAGCTCTGACCGCTGATAAGCTCCCTTCCAAGGGCAAGACGAAACCACAAGTATTCGTTTGGTGTGAAGTGGCAATGCTGAATGAGAGCGTTGACTACAGCTGCATCTAAGAGGTAATAGAAGAGTCGGTACTAACCCTTTTTCGACCTACGGTCGCACATATATGCGTTACGCTTTTGGTCGAATCGACACCCCCCATGAACTTATTGTAGTCAGAGACTACTTTGGGGCATGTCACGCCCACCTTGGCTCCATTAGAAAGCGTCCGGTTCACTTCAACCACCTCAGATGGATCATGGAAGTTTGACAGCATCGTCACATTTCGGTTGTCACGCCACTGGTACGCCGTCAATTGGCCCTTTGATCGCCAAACATAGTCCCCTCTCTTCAATTTCTGGTCCACTTTGATTTCATGAGGTAAATCCTTCCTATTTGTTCTAACCGTGCCTGCTGCCATAATTTGTTTTTCTGAAAGCTCTTCCATGAGCTTGGTCGTAGTGAAGAAGTTATCAAAGCAGAGCGTACTGTCTTCGTCAACATTGTTGCAAAGAGAAAGAACGACATGTTCTCCAAGTGTACGAGCAGCCTCTCTTTCTGCAGACTTCCCTTCATATATTTGAAACTCGCAGAGGTAGCCAGTCACAGAGTCCGCTCTACACCATACCTTGTACCCGCGTTTGATTGGTTTCATGGGGGCATACTGTTTCAAAGCCGATCATCCTTTGAAACGCACCATACTTTCGTTAATTGCCTGGTGGCCAGAAGGCTTGTACTCTTGAAGAAACTTTTTGTTCATGGTTTCCACAAGAGGTCGTATTTTGGCCAGTCTAACAAAACCCTCTTCACCTTTACTTTTTCTCTTCTCATTGTCGTAAAAGTGCAGTGAGTTCATAATGGCCTGAAACCTCTTGAATGTCATCACACTGGATATCTCCTTCACATTGAAAAAGCTGTCGCTACTCCAGTAGACGTACAGATGGTGCGCAGGATTTACGCTCATCAAAATAAGAGTGCCCAAATAGGCTTTCAGTTCACCTTTTGTTAGATCGTGCCACCCTCTTCGAGCCTCCTGCCTGGCATAGCGGTTTGTTTCAAGCACGATCATTTCAAGTACATCATCATTGAAGTACAGGCTGAATGACTCGGATGGTGTACAAGATGAGGACAACTTGCTCGAATACTGCGGTTCCAGGCTACTCACAGAGCGATTGTTGAGAACAGGAAGAGCTGTAGACCACAAAGCGGTTCCTTCCGAGGCAACATCTCGGCTGTCAGAGTTATCCGATTGGACTGGCTCAGGACTTCTCGGGCGTCTTTTCCTTTTTTTGGGCTTCTTCCTGACGTACGATGATCGCCTCCTTTTTCCTGTGCTTGTGGATGGCTGATCAAGCGCGTTGTCATCTGAGTCACTTTTCTCGACCGGAGCCAGCGCAGGCACACCTTCATTCTCACTGTCTGCAAGTTCACTCTCGATGTCGCTTTCTCGAGGATCATCTGGAAGCCTGAACTGAAGCTCAACCGCTTCTTCAACTGATAGCGACCTCCCTGGAATGAAAAGAGAATGCAATAGCGCACTAAAATTCCTACGTAAGCGAGAAGAAAATTAGGCCTAGGAAATTTCGCCAGCTCTGAGTTGCGTCACTCACGTTGCACAACTTTCCGGGTAGCCAATACGACAATAAAATCAGAAAACATAACACAGTGACTATATAGAAACCCACACGAGAAATAAAACTTTCAAACTTACTTGTCATTGTGTATTTAGTGCACGTCGACTCAAAATACCCGCGAAACAGAGCGCGGTAAACGAATTCGGAACGCTTCGAATGAAACGTTATATCGTGCTGCCCCCTAGAGCTTCGTAGAAAATAATGTTTAAAAACGTTAGGTTAGACATTCACCAGATGGCGATAGAAGTCTCAGCTAAACAGCGGCGGTGGTTTTGGTGTGGCGCGGCTTTTAAACTGCAGTCAAAAAGTGGGTTGTAAATTTCCCACTGTCCCATAAAGGGTTAAGGGGCTTCACCCCTAAAAGGTTGAGTAAAACCGTCGATCGGCTGAAAAGGTATCCGGCTGGTAGAAAAGATGACCCTTTACGGCGCTGGCAGGGCTCAAAAACGGGTAAGTACGCTGGTTACACACTACGACTACGACTAAGACTACTACGAGGGACAAACGGGTGCCGCTTTAAGAAGCTTCGCCCCTAAAAGGTCGAGTTTAAACTTCAATCGGTTGAAAAGGTATCCGGTTTGTAGGGAAGATGGCTCCTTACGGCACTGGTAGGGCTCACAAACGGGTAAAAGCACTGGTTACACACTACGACTACGACTTAAACTACTACGATGAACGAATGGGTGCCGCTTTAAGGAGCTTCGCCCCTAAAAGGATGAGTGGAAACCTCGATCGGTTGAAAAGGTATCCAGCTGGTAGAGAAGATGGCTGTTTACGGCACTGGCAGGGCTCACAAACGGGTAAGTACACCAGTTAGACACTACGACTACGACTAGGACTACTACGATGAACGAATGGGTGCCGCTTTGAGAAGCCTCGCCCCTAAATGGGTGAGTGGAAACCTCAATCGGTTGAAAAGATATCCAGCTGGTAGAGAAGATGGCTCTTTAATGCGCTGGCAGGGCTCACAAACGGGTAAGTATACTGGTTACACACCACAACTACGACTAGGGCTACTATGAGGAACGAACCAGTGCCGCTATAAGGAGCTTCGCCCAGAAAAGGGTGAGTTGAAACCTAGATCAGTTGAAAAAGTATCCGGCTGGTAGAGAAGATGGCTCTTTACGGCGCTGTCAGGGCTCAAAAACGGGTAAGTATACTGGTTACACAACACGACTACAACTTGGACTACTGCGAGGAACGAACGGGGGCCGCTTTAAGGAGCTTCGCTCCTAAGAGGTCGTGTAGAAACCTCGATCGGTTGAAAAGGTATCCGGCTGGTAGAGAAGATGGCTTTTTACGGTGCTGGTAGGGCTGAAAACCGAAAAGTATACTAGTTGCACACTTCGACTATGAGTAGGAATACTACGAGGAAAGAACGGGTGCAACTTAAGGAACTTCGCCCCTAAAAGATTGAGTAGAAACTTCGATCGGTTGAAAAGGTATCCGGCTGGTAGAGAAGATGGCTCTTTACGGCAGTGGCAGGGCTCACAAACGGGTAAGTATACTGGTTACACACTACAACTACGACTAGGACTACTATGAGGAACGAACCGGTGCCGCTATAAGGAGCTTCGCCCAAAAAAGGTTGAGTTGAAACCTCGATCGGTTGAAAAAGTATCCGGCTGGTAGAGAAGATGGCTCTTTACGGCGCCGGCAGGGCTCACAAACGGGTATTATACTAGTTGCACACTACGACTACGACAAGGCTACTACGAGGAATGAACGGGTGCCACATTAAGGAGCTTCGCTCTTAAAAATGGGAGTGGAAACATCGATCCGTTGAAAAGGTATCCGGCTGGTTGAGAAGATGGCTCTTTACGGCGCTGGGAGTGCTCAAAAACAAAAAGAATACTGGTTACACACTACGACTATGACGAGGACTACTACGAGGGACGAACGGGTGCCGCTTTAAGGAGCTTCGCCCCTAAAAGGTCGAGTGGAAACCTCAATCGGTTGAAAAGGTATCCGGTTTGTAGGGAAGATGGCTGTTTTTGGCGCTGGCAGGGCTCAAAAACGGGTAAGTACACTGGTTACACCACGACTATGACTAGACTACTACGAGGAACGAACGGTTGCCGCTTTAAGGAGCTTCGCCCCTAAAAGGCTGAGGGGAAACCTCGAATGGTTGAAAAGGTATCCGGTTTTTAGAGAAGATGGGTCTTTACTGCACTGGCAGAGCTCACAAACGAGTAAAAACACTGGTTACACCCTACGACTATGACTAGGACTACTACGAGGGACGAACGGTTGCCGCTTTAAGGAGCTTCGCCCCTAAAAGGCTGAGGGGAAACCTCGATCGGTTGAAAAGGTATCCGGCTGGTAGAGAAGATGGCTCTTTACGGCGCTGGTAGGGCTCAAAAACGAAAAGTATACTGGTTACACACTACGACTACGACTAGGCCTACTACAAGGAACGAACGAGTGCCGCTTTAAGGAGCTTCACCCCTAAATGGTGGAGTGAATAATCGATGGGCTGAAAAAGTATCCCGCTGGTAGAGAAGATGACCCTTTACGGCGCTGCCAGGGCTCACAAACGGGTAAGTATGCTGGTTACACACTACGACTACGACTAATACTACAACGAGGGACGAATGGGTGCCGCTTAAGGAGCTTCGCCCCTAAAAGTCGAGTTTAAACTTCGATCGGTTGAAAAGGTATCCGGTTTGTAGAGAAGAAGGCTCGTTACGGCACTGGTAGGGCTCACAAACGGGTAAAAGCACTGGTTACACACTACGACTACGACTTAAACTACTACGTTGAACGAATGGGTCCCGCTTTAAGGAGATTCACCCCTAAAAAGATGAGTGGAAACATCGATCAGTTGAAAAGGTATCCGGCTGGTAGAGAAGATGGCTCTTTACGGCGCTGGGAAGGCTCAAAAACGAAAAGTATACTGGTTACACACTACGACTACGACTAGGCCTACTACAAGGAACGAACGAGTGCCGCTATAAGGAGCTTCACCCCTAAAAGGTTGAGTAAATAATCGATGGGCTGAAAACGTATCCCGCTGGTAGAGAAGATGACCCTTTACGGCGCTGCCAGGGCTCACAAACGGGTAAGTATGCTGGTTACACACTAAGACTACGACTAAGACTACTACGTGGGACGAACGGGCGCCGCTTTAAGGAGCTTCGCCCCTAAAAGGTCGAGTTTAAACTTCGATCGGTTGAAAAGGTATCAGGTTTGTAGAGAAGGTGGCTCTTTACTGCACAGGCAGGGCTCACAAACGGTTAAAAACACTGGTTACACACTTCGACTACGACTTGGGCTACTACGATGAACGAATGGGTGTGGCTTCAAGGAGCTTCGCCCCTAAAAGCATGAGTAGAAACCTCGATCGGCTGAAAAGTTATCCAGCTGGTAGAGAAGATGGCTCTTTAATGCGCTGGCAGGGCTCAAAACGGGTAAGTATACTAGTTGCACACTTCGACTACGACTAGGAATTCTACGATGAATGAACGGGTGCCGCTTGAAGGAGCTTCGCCCCTAAAATGTTGAGTAGAAGCATCGATCGCTTGAAAACGAATTCAGCTGGTAGAGAAGATGACTCTTTACAGCGCTGTCAGGGCTCAAAAACGGGTAAGTATGCTCGTTACACACTACGACTATGACTAGGACTACTACGAGGGACGAACGGTTCCGCTTTAAGGAGCTTCACCCCTAAACGTCTGAGGGGAAACCTCGATCGGTTGAAAAGGTATACGGCTGGTAGAGAAACTGGCTCTTTACGGTGCTGGCAGGGCTCACAAACGGGTATTATACTAGTTGCACACTACGACTACGACAAGGCTACTACGGGGAACGAACGGGTGCCACATTAAGGAGCTTGGCTCCTAAAAATTTGAGGGGAAACATCGATCGGTTGAAAAGGTATCCGGCTGGTAGAGAAGATGGCTCTTTACGGCGCTGGTAGTGCTCAAAAACAAAAAGTATACTGGTTACACACTTCGACTATGACGAGGACTACTACGAGGGACGAACGGGTGCCGCTTTAAGGAGCTTCGCCCCTAAAAGGTCGAGTGGAAACCTCAGTCGGTTGAAAAGGCATCCGGTTTGAAGAGAAGATGGCTGTTTACGGCATTGGCAGGGCTCAAAAACGGGTAAGTACACTGGTTACACAATACGACTACGACTAGAACCACTACGATGAACGAACGGGTGCCGCTTTAAGGAGCTTCGCCCCTAAAAGGTTGTGTGAAACCTCGATCGGTTGAAAAGGTATCCAGCTGGTAGAGAAGATGGCTGTTTACGGCACTGGCAGGCTCACAAACGGGTGAGTGTACGGTTACACACTACGACTATGACTAGGACTACTACGAGGACGAACGGTTCCGCTTTAAGGAGCTTCACCCCTAAACGTCTGAGGGGAAACCTCGATCGGTTGAAAAGGTATACGGCTGGTAGAGAAACTGGCTCTTTACGGTGCTGGCAGGGCTCACAAACGGGTATTATACTAGTTGCACACTACGACTACGACAAGGCTACTACGGGGAACGAACGGGTGCCACATTAAGGAGCTTGGCTCCTAAAATTTGAGGGGAAACATCGATCGGTTGAAAAGGTATCCGGCTGGTAGAGAAGATGGCTCTTTACGGCGCTGGTAGTGCTCAAAAACAAAAGTATACTGGTTACACACTACGACTATGACTAGGACTACTACGAGGACGAACGGGTGCCGCTTTAAGGAGCTTCGCCCCTAAAAGTCGAGTGGAAACCTCAGTCGGTTGAAAAGGCATCCGGTTTGAAGAGAAGATGGCTGTTTACGGCATTGGCAGGGCTCAAAAACGGGTAAGTACACTGGTTACACAATACGACTACGACTAGAACCACTACGATGAACGAACGGGTGCCGCTTTAAGGAGCTTCGCCCCTAAAAGGTTGTGTGAAACCTCGATCGGTTGAAAAGGTATCCAGCTGGTAGAGAAGATGGCTGTTTACGGCACTGGCAGGGCTCACAAACGGGTGAGTGTACTGGTTACACACTACGACTACGACTATGACTACTACGAGGGACGAATGGGGGCCGCTTTGAGGAGCTTCGCCCCTAAAAGGATGAGTGGAAACCTCGATCGGTTGAA